GAGGATGTTGAGATGGATGAGTGGCAAGACAAGAAGGGACAAAATACAAAATGAATCTATTCGAGAGAATTTAGGCGCGACACCAATATGTGATAAAACGAGAAAGAGTAGACTTAGGTTGGTTAACCATGTGTGGTGCCGATCAAGTACAGCACCTGTTAGGAGGTGTGAGTTAATTCTAAAAAAGGCAATGGGAATGCCCAAAAAGACATGGTTGGAAGTAGTCCGAAATGATATGGGGACTTATGGCCTCACTGAAGATATGGCTTTTAATAAAACAGAATAGAGAACTAGGATTCATGTAGCCAACCCCAGTTAATTGGAAAAAAACTAAAATGATGAAGATAAATATCCACTTTAGAATCACTAAAAAAATATTTTTCAAAAAAGAAAACTATCTAAACACGTCGATACGACCTTCCAAAGAGTTATACTCATAAATGGGGTCCTTACTCATGAGGGTTTATCTAATGTTTTGTCACCAGAGTTAACAATTTTTTTAAAAAAAATTAAAAAATTGGTTAGTAATTTGCCTGGTTAAAGTACCCTGGCATCACGGGAATCCAATTGTCGTTGCAAGGGCCCATAAACCGAAATTGGGTTTGTCTGGTTTTTGCTTGAGACTATGCGTAGTTTGACATAAGAATGAAAGGAATCTTCAGCACTTTATTGATCTTTTACCTTTTTTAAGTTTTAAGTAAGAATTGATAGCAACGTTGAGTGGCAGGATGATAGCTTTAAAATGGGGTAAATGCCTCTTTTTCCCATAAAAAATTTAGGAAAAAGTTTATATACCTTAAATTTAAGAAGTAAGGTACAACTAAAAATTTCAATAGACAAGAGTGTTTCGAAGTTGGAAAACCTTTCAATAGAAAAGAGTGTTTCGAAGTTGGAAAACCGTCCTATTGATTATCTCTACCTCATGATGCATTAATAATAAGAAAAAAAAGAATTTCAATTCCTAAAAATAATGCATCTTGTAACAAGTTATCTCGACCGTCTATTTTTAATATTTTCAAATATTTATAAATCTACTAAAACAGCCTATTTTTAATTTTAAATTTTTTGATTTGGGTCGAACATGGATTTTCAAGACATAGTGAGACTTCCAACACCAAACTACATCTTCCAACAAAATTTAGAGGTGCTTCCAACAAAATTTAGAGGTGCGCCTTAATTAAGTAGTATAAGGCGGGCATCTTAACCACACCTCACCCGAAAAATAATCACCAGGATTGCATCATAAAATTTCTAGGATAGTTTGACAATTCGGCCTAGAGTCTCTCAAAATTTTGTGGGAGAGTGGATACTATGCTCCTGACATGAGCATGATGTAAGCATATTATCTCGAGCTAAAGCGTTATTTAAAAGGATTTTTTGATTTGAAATTTTAGAATTTTGTATAATAATGGAAAATTATCATAAATATATTTTAATTTAAGTTTAATTAATTATCATAAATATATTTTAATTTAAGTTTAATTGGAACAAAACCCCAAACTTTTATTTATCTCGTATGCACATTTTTTTCTCATTTTCGGTTTTTTTTTTTTACCAAAATGACCTTTACAGTAATCATATTACCATAGTTGTATTACCGTAATAGTTAGTGCATGTTATACTGTACTTTAAATACCGTAATACTTAGGGAATTTTATATGGTACTTTTAGTACCGTAATACTGAGGGCATTTTATACTGTACTTTAATTACCGTAAACTTACACTAACCCTTACACGGCATTTTAAGTACCGTAAACACAAACCCATGTTATACGGCACTTAAAATGCTGTAAACCGTTTTATCATCTTTCATGTCTAATTCTTTTTATGTTTATCTATTTTTTCTCTTTCTAATTATTTTTAATATTTATCTGTTCTTTATCTTTCTAATTATTTTTTATCTCTTCTTTCTCTCTCTACAATCTTATCATCGTTTCCTTAAAAAAAGTAATCGAATACTGACTTCGGCTATGCAAAACAGAGGACATGATTTATCTAAAGAAATGATGATGAGATTGGAGAGAGAGAAAGAAAAGATAAAAAAGAATTAGAGAGATAAAGAAGAGATAAATATTAAAAATAATTAGAAAGAAGAGATAAACATAAAAAGAATTAGAGATGAGAGAGATAAATAGAATTTACGGCATTTTAAGTGCCGTATAAGATGGGTTAGTTCTTACTGTACTTAAACCGTATAATGGGTTTTAGTTTTTACGGTACTTAAAGTACTGTAATTGGCTTCATGGTCATAGCCAGAGTTTTACGTACTTAAAAGTACCATAAGATTACTTGAAGTTATTACGGTATTTTAAATACGGTATAAAATGATATGTATTATGGTAGTAAAACTACTGTGAAGGTTATTTTGGTCCAAAAAAAGCCGTAAATGCAGAAAAAAGGTGTAGATGAAGGAAGCGAAGTTTGGGTTTTTTTTTTCGATTAATATTAAATTAAGATGTATTTTCGATAATTTCTCTATAATAATCAACAAAATATTACTTTTTACAAGATTTAGATCTAGATTTTATTTATTTATTTTTAAATTTTCCAAATGTTAACTAAGGAGAGGTGGTATTGGAACTCCTCGCATCATTTTGTAACTTCGTCTACCCTGACCAATGTGCCAAGAGGCCCGGCTCATGGATCTTGAGTTCTTAAAAACATCGATCTGATTGTTCAAATTTAGGATGATCTCTATCAATCTTTCACCGTTATTCTTTCCAGACAAGCACAAAGTGCGGGTTTTTTTTTTTGCAATTGCTTGTTAGGTTGAAAAGATTACATCAAAAAATTGAGCTCTACAGGAGTGAATAGAAAAAATGCTCTTCAGGGGAGCATAAAATCTTTTCACAAATTCGACTGGAATCCAATTTTGAACATCTTTATCCGGAAGAGATCATGAAGAAAGTTCTTCAAAATTGACATATGAAGCCTTATAAAGCCAAACCAAACGAATGGTGCACTTGAGTCAAGCCCTCATGACTAAAACCTTCTATTTTATGGTTGTAAGGCAACTTATGCGGTCCAATCATGTACTCTTTTTAAATTTTGATTTTTTGGGTAATTCAGAATGGAAGATAGGTCCTACCCGTTTTTTTCATATAGATTAGAGAGTTAACTTTTCTTAGAGTGAGGATTTGAGCTTGGGCTTCAGTAGTTAGCGTCTAACATTTAGCTACACTATATCTCAAGTTCGATTCCTACTAATGAACTGCCCAAATAAATAAATAATTAAAAATGCTAGAGTGCAATTCATTTTTCCGTAAAACTGGAAGAGCACTATACGCCACTGCAAACAAAAGTACTAAAATAGAATTAATTTTAACCTAAAACTGGAAGGACTTCCCAAGCTCCTCCCTCATTCTTCAAAGAGCTTCATATTATTCAAGATAATGTAGACCTTTTAATGTACAGGTTTTTCATTGTTTAGATTTTAGAAAAGGCTAGGCATAAGGATGTACATCTTTTGCCTTTTTTGATTAAGTATGAGCAACATGTCCCCTGAATCTCTTGGCATCTACCAGCTATCAGCATCAAAATTAGTAATTTTACCTAGGAAACAACTTATAGGGTCGGGTCATACCTATATTTGGGACATCTGGCTCCTAAAAGTCATAGTTAGTGAGTAGGACGGGCAACGGGCGGGGCCAAACCTAGCCTTAGCCCGACCCTAGTCCCCATAGGGCCATTTCAGGTTTGGCCCGCTTTGATCATGCCAAAAGGATCTTGGCCTGGGCCCAGCCCAACCCTAGCCCTAAGAAGGCCAAGCTGGGCCTGGCTCATTAAAAACAAATAAAAACAACAAAAAAGAGTGCCAGACGGAGTGAACCAGGCCGGCCTTGGGTTGGACCTACCCTCAGGCAGTGGTTACCTGGCCCTCGGCCCGTATTTCGTGGCCCAGCCTCTAGTTTGTTAGGACCAGGCGAGGCTGGGTAACCTGGCCCATTGCCACCCCTAATAGGGAGATGATTTTTTTCTAAATTGTTCAATCATCTTTGATTGAACTTGTAAACAACAGCAAAGAACTAATAGTAATAATCAGATGGTTCTTTGAAGTCCAATATGATGGCTCAGAGTCAACTTTTGAGATAAGATTAATTTTGAGGATCTCTACTAACTCCAAATAACCCTTTTAAATGGGAATTTAGCTTGGTGTTGACTAGTACTATCTCAAAAATTTCACATCCAAAGATTTTTGGAAAATATTTCTGGCACTCAGCCATGTGATGTAGGCTAGTGGAATGCAAGGAACACAAGTGACATCAGCATGATTTATGAGATTTTTCCGGAAGACCGGCGGATTTTTTTTTTTTTAATGTTAACAGAGATTTCATTGATAGGAAAACGTGTTAGAGAAGGAAGTAACAGTAAAAGCAAAAAAAAAAAAATTAGAGGGGGAGGTAGATTATTATTCTTTTGATCAAATTTTAAATAGAAAATCTAACTATGTCGCATGAATTGTTGAAAACTTGATAGACCGATCCAAACATCATCATCGGTTCAAGATTCATAAATAGATGCGGCAAAATTTTACGTTGGTTGTCCTACCTAAGACAATCTACCTCCTTTATCTGGGCTTGGAACCAATGAGCGGTCCAAGCATAACTTTGACAACTTTCTAAATGCAAAATTGTGAGTAAATAAAGTTTGTTTGTGTTTCTATTTATGAATAAGGAGTTACCTTGCCATGCAGGTGTAGAGGGGCCATCAGGCTGCAAGGGAGCATCAAGACACAATTTAAAGAAGAAATAAAAAAGATATAATGACAAGACATGGTTTAGGGATGAGGGAGGGGTCCCTAGGGTTGTTGGGCCTCTCTCTCACCATTACCACAACACTCCAAGTCTTTCATGGCTCCCTGTGCCAGCTAAGGGTGGCCCGTACCCACATGGGTGCGTCCATATTCAAAAATCCAATTATATGAGCAAAAGCACTGGAATCTCTCTCTATATAAACCCTCCTCTCTTTCCCTGTAAAAGCAATACAAGCATACTAAAGAGAGTGCTTGTGCTGTGGAGGGAGAGGGCAACGACCTGTAGAAAATGGCCATGACAAGCACATTGGCTCTCTTTATCTCTCTGAATCTCCTAATCTCGACGGCCTTGGTTTCAGCTTGTGGTTCGTGCGGGGGAGGTTCGCGAGGGGGAGGTTCGCCCGGGGGAGGTTTGCCCAATCAGCCGGCTCCCACGAGGCCAAACCGGTCTCCAACTTGCCCTAGGGATGCCCTAAAGTTGGATGTGTGCGCTGATTTATTGGGTGGGTTGGTCCACTTGGTAGTGGGCAGCGGTGCCAGGAGCAGGTGCTGCACACTGCTGAGTGGATTGGCTGATCTCGATGTTGCAGTATGCCTCTGCATAGCGATTCGGGCCAATATTTTGGGCATTAACTTGAACATCCCTGTGGCCCTCAGCTTGCTCGTAAATCAGTGTGGGAGGACGCTACCTAATGGCTTCCAATGTGCCTAGGAAATTTCGCTTTTCTATTGTTCTACAAATATTCTACTGTTTTGAGTGTCGAACACAAGTGTCGTATCTGAAAGTGTCTAAAGTGTCTAGTATATCAGCTTGAGAAACTGAGCTCGTTAGACAAGTGGTAGGGTCTATACGTGATACGATATCTCAGCTTTATAAACTTCATCCCATAGAATAAAAAGTTGGCTTTGATATTTGTGTCATCCTTTCTATGAGACAAACGTTCTACCAGCTTCTGTTTTGTGTCCTTTTGTTTTATTTTTCTTGCAAGAGATTAAGAGAAATAAAGACGGTGTTGTACTTGTACCATCCTTTCCATCAGGAAAAATTGAAACCTTTTCTTTATTTCCCAATAAGAATGATTATATGTTTGTACTTTTGCCATCCTTTTCATTAAGAAGAGTTGAACCTTTTTTTTTTTTCCCTTCTCTTGCTATAAGAATGATTATATGTACATTGTATACTATGATATTGTTCATCATATTATTATAAGGAGGTGACAATCACTCCTCGCATTTAGATGTAAAATTTGTTGGTTTAGCGTGTATCACAAATTTTGAAAAAAAATAAAAACTTTGAATCTAATCAATGATACATTTAAATCATCCTATTTAAAATTTGGACAAAATGATGGTAGTCTCATTGTATTAAAAAATAAATATCTTTCATATTTTTCTAAACATAATACGTATTTCTCAAGTTCATGGTGACATATGGTGTTACATTGTCTGCCTCACAGGCCCTAAATAAAGATAAAGAAAAGGAAATGATAATACAAGAAATAGGGCCATTTATCGTAATGCATTATTTTGAAGTGGAAAAAACTTTGCTTCAGGGTGAAAATAAGGGCAATCATCATTATTGGGCTCTCAATCACGAGACTTCACGTAAAACCCCGTGACATCTTTCTTTTCATTTCAAGAACCGCATAGAAGCTTGATTTAGCATTTCATGGTCCTTTCCGTGAAACCCATCTCCTTTCTTCACATCTCTCTTCTTAAATACAACCCCTATTAATATCTTATTTCCACTTATAACAACAGGTCAGGTCGCCGGGTCCAAAACCTGAACCCGAGTACATTTGGGTCTGGGTCTAGGTCCAGCTGGACCTGACCCGTTGCCACCCCTACCTATATCAGATTCACTGCACCAGTCTCTCTCTTTCTCTTTCTCTCTCTCCCAAATAGTCAGGTACTCTCTCTTAAGATGATGCATTGCAGCTTTTTCTCTCTCTAAAATCATGTTCTTTTTCATCCCCTCTCCTTCTGAAGCTTGGTCTCAAACCTCAAACGAATGTTGTTCACCAAACTGCTGTCAAGGATGTTCAATGTCTTGTTAACCTTGTCAAGAACGATCCTTGTTGAATGTTGAGCTTCCTCTTCTCAGCGAGGTTCTCAAGCCAGATTTTGTACATCCAATTTTATTCTCAAAGGAAATCTCTGTGTTGCAGTGAAAGGTATTAATGATGAGGCTGAGAAGCTGGTTGATCTCAGCTGGAAGATCAATAACTGCAGTTGATAAACTAGAAAACAAATGATTCAAGAGAAGGTATCAATGAAGCTTAGAAATTGTAGCAAAGGAGTTGGCAAGTAAGGATTTTCCTTGGCAGAATGGAAACGTAAAAATAAAGGATCAATAGATGTCATGTACCTTTTTCAGATCCGATTCTTCTATTGTGATTGGTGCAACCCTTCCATTCCTTTCTGAGCACGATTCCTCCTACTCACAACTTCAGGCTGACTATAGGTTACTAAATCTAGTGTTTAGAAAATTGACTCGGCCAAAGTACATAGACCTTAGCCAATGCGAGTTACTTAGGCGAGTCCGACTAACTTGCTTGAGTCCAGATCAATTTTTTTTCAAAGAAGATAAAGAGAGAAAACTATTATATATAATTTTTGGGTTTTTGTGGCTATTTAAAGACCTTATGAGAGAAGGTAATAAATTTTTTGATAGTGGAACAATGAACTCTAGTGGGAGTATGGTCTAGAGGGACCGAAATTGACAATTCTAATGTTGAGACTAAAACAAGGCCTAATGAGCTAGGCCGAGTTGAGATGTAGAACCCTATGATACCTAGGTTTATAGCACAGCTGATAAGGGTTACGCCTTGATGAGGTCGGAGAGATGCCCATGGTAGTTACTGTGTGATCCTTGTATGTGATTGGTAGGCATGAAGGAACAAGGGCCAAATCTTTATCGTAACCATCATACAAAATATACATATGATAATCGTAATGGGAAGTGAACATCATTGAGGGTGTTGCATGTACACGTGTTAGAGATAGCCCATGCAGCTATCGCAATGTGTGTGCACAGGTCTGTGTGACCTAGGCTTATCTCTAAGGGGAACCTGTAATCCATAAACTAGGGTTGTGTTCTTATCACCTATTGGCAAACTTTAGTAATCGAGGCATGAATTTGGCTACAAATCATGAAAACTATTGTTCAGTTTGAGAAAGTGAGTATGGGACATGGTCACTAGTAGAAATGAAGTGGCTCGGTATTTTCACATTCTCTTTAATAAAATTGGATCTAAATCTCATCAAATTAATCTACAATAATTAATTTGGCTACAAATGATTTGTAGATTATTAAAATATTATTTTTATAAGTCTCTAGATATTTTATTTCATCAAAATTGATTTTTAAATAAGCTAAACTGAATTTTTTGGTATTTAAATATTCAGAGAAGAAAATAAAATATTTATTCTTTTCTAAAAATAATTTTTATGGTTTTAAAATTATCAAAATATATGGGACCCATTATACTCTATGGGCCCCACCATTATAGCCCATTTTGATGAGGGTGTGGGGCCCACTAGTGCCCATAGAGTGGCACGCCCCACTTTTCTCCCTCTCTTTCTATTTGTGTTGGCTTGTGTCATAAGCTATTCAATTGATTGAAATAAGATAGGAAGGTTTTCTCAAGATGGCTTATTGATTTTTAAAGGAAGCATGTGTAAGCGATTGATTGAAAATTGAAGGGCAAGTACATTATATTTTCTCTGCACTTAATATTTGATGGGATTAGGTTAAGAAGGCCGAGGGATAAGGTTCTAGCACCTTTCATAAGATCGTAAAGGCTGATCTTTGAATTTTATAACTAAGATATTTCACACTACAAATTCCCTTTGATCAATGGTCTAGATGAAATCTTCATAACGATGGCTAGACCCTAACCCTAGCCTCATCTCCATAAAATCTCTCAATGGGGGTTGACTCTACACCACAACCTAGGTATCTCTCTCCCCTCAAGGTGGCACGTCACCCGCCCTCTGATCTCTTTATCTTTCTCTCTCCATAGCTCAAAGGCTCTCTCTTGGACAAAACGTAGGGGAATGCATCAACCTTTTGGTAGAGACATAGTAAAGCAAGAGCAGGGCCTAGTTTTGTTCTACATGCTCTCATATCCATTGAAGGGTTTCTAGCCAAAGCTTCCCAACTTCGCGAGATTTAAGAAAGACCTTCATCCCGTATGACATCGGTAGAGGAAAGTCATTGTGAGGTATGCAAAGTCCAATTGAGGTAATCTTTTAGTATTTTTATTATTTTACTGCATTCTTATGTTTCTTATTCCCAAGTTTAAGTCATTATAAATTTTAGTTAGTTACTGAAGAGTTGTTAACGTGGGAGCAAGTGGGAATCCAAATTTGAGTTTTTATATGGTTATTTGAGTTGTTATTGTAATTTTTGAACTTATGAAAGTGTTTCGGTCCCACAGTTGGCACAGGCCGGGTTTGTCACCATTTTCTTTGCGAATATGGTGACAGACAAGAACTATAGTGAAATTGTTATTACTGTCTCAAAGACATACTTTTTACTATTGAAATAAATGAAGTTGTTTATGTCTCATCTCCCAATCATGAGAATGACGCTTATCTATGGCACATGCGCTAAGGGCATATAAGTCACAAAAGAATACCGAAATTAAGAAAAAATGGCTTTTTAAAAACCTACAAAGGGGATTTATCATAAGTGTGTGAATATTGCATGCAAGGAACAATGCTAAGGAAAATTCCACCGAGGTACAAAAAGCATCTAATGTTTTAAAAATCATCCATAGCGTCATATGAAGTCTCATGAATGTGGCAACTAAACGTGGGTCAAGAATCCATTTTAAGAGTAATGGGACTGCGTATGACTGCATAAGAAAAACAAGGAATTTGTTATCTCTTACCGATCGTCGGTTAAGCTTCTGCAGCAAACTCTTGACATGTCTTCATATTTCTTCAACCATTGGATGATGAATCCATTGGTCATGAAACTTGGAGAGATGATAAAGGAGTCAAAGACGAACACAACGGTCTAAGTCTCACTTCAAATGGATCGCAGATAAGAGAGATCTAGTCTGTCCAAGTTAACCTTTCTTTGCTATACATTGGATCAGCAGGCTCAGCATATTGCGGGTGCAATTACTTCCACTTTAGGGATTAATATAATGTCGCACCTTTAAGAGTGATGGAATATTGAGTTAGGAATCCAATGATCCTAATCCCATGAGAAAATTCCTCATATCTAGAGAGAAATATCAATTTTGGTAACTAGATGTCATCTTGGGTTTAACAAACAACACATAATCTTTAAGGCTCTTAACTACCGACGGATACAGATGATGCGTTAATCCACCTCCGACTGAAATGAAACTTCTAAGTGACGGATATAAATCCGCAATTATGAATTTTTTAAAGTCTCGACTCAATTCCAAACATAAAGTTTGGGATGTTGGTTAAGACATGTCTTAACCACCAATGCATACAGATGCTGGGGTGAAGTCAATTCTAAATGATGCCCAATTTGTGTACCAACTCCAAAAGATTTCCAATTTGTATAATTCGTAGACTCATAGGAATATGAGTCCTCATGATGCATATATCTTCAAGAATACACATTATTAATTGACGATGGATTCAAAGAGACATATTACATCTCATCAAAACTCCTTCAGTTATCATTTGAAGAGGCACATATGGGCCATGGGAGTATATGTATCCCAGAGTTTTGTCTCAAATTAAAACGACTGCATGGTCTCTTATCATCCATCGTTAGTCATGATATACATGTGTGACAGACAATAGATTAGTAAACATATCATTCTGTATCAAATTCCTCCACCTATCACATGGAGAGGCATATTGGAGCCTTAGGAGTATATGTATCCTATAATTTATCTCACATTGAGATCGGTTTGATATGTTCTATCATCAGCCGTTAGTCAAGATGATCATACTTGATCGATGTCTGATTAATATTGCATTGAATATATTTAATGTCTTGTGAAGAGCCATATATGAGCCTTAGGAGTATATGTATCCTAGAGTCTATCCCATATTGAGATGGTCTGACTGCTCTCACTATCATTGGTCATAATTCAAGGCGTATATGGCTAACTAACAAATAAAGCTCTAAGGTATATTAGG